AATAAACTTATATTGTTTTATAACATTCATATCTTTGTTTCAAGGGATCGTCCACAAATTATGTAACGCAAGCTTTCACAATAAACAAAACAAAAAGATTAAAAGTTTTCCCTCGCAGAGTCTTAATTTAAATATAAAATCCTTTTAGTTTATACCCCCTTTAAGCTTAATGAAAATCGCCGCGTAAAAGAGCTTAATATCTCATACTTCTGCTTTTTAAATATATTTTGCGTTGCGTAATTTGTGGACGATCCCCAATCATATGCGTTTTATCGTCGTAATATTTTGTATTCTTTTAACGTTTCAATCAAAAATATAAAAGCGGAATTAACTCATCTTTTTGATAAATTTTTATAATCAAGTTTGTTTATTTTTTTAAATACAGTAATAAAATGTTGGTATTGTGGTTTATCCTCCTCCGGCTAATTACCATATAGGGGCCACATTACCAAGGCCCGCAAAAACAGGTTTGGCTCCCCAAGGAGCGTCATAACCCGGCTCTCCGGACTAAGAGTAAGGTGAGTTTGGGAATAACGAAGAGATGTTAGAGTGAAAGACAGAAGTAGTCGAGTTAGAAAGATAGCATAGAGAAAGCGGACAGAATTGCACCCGATGTTAGAAGGTGCTATAACCTACTGTTAGTTAAGTTAACCTAATAAAAGTACGCCGATAAAGATATGATTGGAGTTCACTTAACATGAGCTGTTTCTCAACTTTCTTTGTCGTTCAGTAATAAAATGTTGTCACATGTTTCATTTGCCCTTAATGCGTTGTGGAACTATGAAAAGTAGATGTTTTCCGAATTAACTGTTGAGCTTTTGGCTAAAACATTTCTTTTAATTTACTCAAATACAATGTAAAATACTCACAAAATGCAATCTTTTTTAGATTTTATTCAAAATTTTTTTACAAATTTTATTGTGTATTATTTTTTTAGACTGTTTTAAATAAAACAAAGATTTTTTATGTGTAAAGAATGCATATAAACTTTAAGAAAAATTTTTATGTATAAAGATTCCATTTAAAGTATTTTTATAAAAGGTACATGTTATAAACGCTGTATTAGATAATTTATCTAAAAATGACATTAGAAAACACATTTGATCTGAATGTTCAGTAAAATAATAATTAACTAATTTGCTTGGTATGATACATAAATGAATATAAAACACACATAGACACACACACATACACGCGCGCGCGCAAATTGCACTCTCAGCAGTATTGGTTGAAAAATACCTTTAAAATACATTTAAACAATTTTAAAGTATAGCATAGTTTTTTAATTCAGTTCTTTATCTTTATTGCTAACTATATTTTTAAATAGTTCAAATTAAGCGAAAATATTTCTTTACTCTTTGCCTTTCTTTAATCAATAACATCGTTAAATGAAGAAGATTGTAAAAAACTGTTAATATTCAATCAAGTCTTTTTATATACAATTTTAAAGTTTTCAGTAACTTGTAGGCCAATTTAATACACATTGAAAAATGGTCCTTCCTCTTTAGGGATGGAGATGCAATATATGTTTAGCCTAAAAAGCTTAGTACGGCAATGAACGTAAATATGATTAGCAAATAACAGAATAGAAAAATGTTAGAAAATTTTGAAAGCAAATTATCATAGTTGCTACTTACAGTTACAATAAAAAAAACTCCACAATATATATCAAAAGAGAATTTTTTAGAAGAGGTTTTCTAAAATTTTAATAATCTGCCTAAATAAGACAAAATTTTACCAGCTATTTATAAAATAGCTTAGCATTTTTTTAAAATTTCTAAAATTTCCAAAATTTTCCAAGTAGAAAACTTAGTTTAACTTAAATTTTAATCTCCATAGACCTTCAAAATCTTTAAAATCTTTTTCTCTATAGACCTTCAAAACTTTCAAATTTTTTTTCAAGACAATCATTCTCAACTCAGTGAAAAGAACAGAAATTCAAAATTCTATATAAAATCGATGCCTATTACCAACGCTGATTTGATTTTTTTTTTTTTTTTAGTTTACATTTGTTGCCGTAGTAAATAAATTACTTTCACAAACACAAACAAGGTTTCTGAAAGAAGATCGTACTGATCTTATCATCAGAACCTTTTACAAACGTGTGTATATAAACTACATTAAAACATAATCAACAAAATAAAACGTAATAAACAATAAAAGTTCTAAAGAAAATATTAAATTATGATTAAAAAAATCTGACTACATCATCCATTAAGATAATTAAATTTTTCAGTTTATATTTGAAAATGGGAAAAGTAAAATGCATGTCGAAATCGGACAAAACAATTTTATTCCAAAGATAGGGTACACGATGTGCAATATAAAACTGATTAAACTTGGTTCGACAAAGGGGCTCATATATAAAACTATTAATTCTAAGTGTATATTTATTTAGTGGTTTCAAACAAAAGAGATCTTTGAAAACGGGTGAAGATATGTCATTTTTCCACATATACATAAAGCACAAAACATTGAAAACATTAAGCTCATAAATATTGAGAACTTTCATTTCGATAAAAAGTGGTTTGGAATGAGTGTATCAATCCGCAAAATTTATTAAACGGTTTGCAAGTTTCTGACGGCGATAAAGGCTTTAAACTTACTTTTTTCAGTGCTTCTGTTCTTTTGTTCTTTTCAGTGCTTTCTGTACTTTTTTCAGTGCTTCTGTTCTCTTTTTTCAGTGCTTCTCTTTAAACTTACTTTTTTCAGTGCTTACTTTTTTCAGTGTTTCTGACGGCGATAAACTTACTTTTTTCAGTGCTTCCCCATGCAACATTAGCATAATTTAAATAACTATGAGTTAATTAGTAATAAAGTTGAGTTAGGCTTTTTTTACATAAAATTGTTTTGGTTTTATATAGAATTTCAATATTTTTAGAAATTTTTGTACCAATATAGTCGATATGCGTTTTCCATGTAATGTTTTCATCAAGAAAAATACCTAAAAACTTTGTTACATTATGTCTTTTTACTTCAACATCATCAATAAAAATTTTAGGTAAACTTCGGGGTAAATAAGCTCTTTTAGAGACTGGGTGGAAAAGAA